CTCAAGTGGTTTTGTTTGTTATATTTTATTCAGCATTCATGTGTATTAGAACACTGGATTCCTCTAATATCAATTTAGTCTATTGGAGTGAAAGGAAGTCCCACAGAGGGGCTGGGAAGATGGCTCAGTGGTAGAGCGCTTGCCTTGCATGCAGGAGGCCTTGGGTTCAATTCCTCAGCACCACATAAGCAAAATGAAAAAAGCCAGAAGTGGCGCTGTGGCTCAAGTGGTAGAGCTCTAGCCTTGAGTTGAAGAGCCGAAGGACAGTGCCCAGACCCAGAGTTCAGGCCCCATGACCGGACCCCCCAAAAAAAAAGTCCCACAGAATATTTTAAGTCCCAAAAGAGAGTAAAATTAGGGTCCCAAAGTTTTGACATTATTTGCTTTGATACTTTTTATACTGTCCTTATTTTTCTCTTGTAATAAGCCAGCATTGTCCTGCACGGTGAACTTTAGGAATTAGTGAACTGAGACTTGAGAACTTTATCCTAGCTTTGTTACATGTTATATACAGTTGGAGAAACTACTTATGTTCTCTTATTTGTTATTAACTATAAAATTAGGATATTATTATTTTCCTGGTTTTATAACATTATTGTAAAGATAAAACAAGTTTATAGATTTGAAAATACTTCAACAATTAAAACATACAAATTTATGTTTTTTATGAATGCAACAGTAGAGGTTAAAATCATTAAAACATTAATTTTGAAATATTAAATTGTATGAAGAACTATGATTTTGGGTTTGCTTCTTGTTAATTAAAAAAAACTAAATCTATGAAAATGTGTGATGAGGAAATTATGTGGAAACAAGAATTCTTGTGAGGTAAAAAGCATTTTATTTTTACTGACAGTTATGACTTTAGTAGACAATGGAATTCATTTGGAGAAACACATCTTTCACACTTAAAAGAAAACAGAGAATGTAACCTGGAAATCATCACTGTATTTTTGTTATGTATTTTCTAAGAAAAAAGCTCCCAAAAATTCAATTACTATGTTGTGAAGAACCATAAAACCTTTTGAATGCAGAGAAGATATCCTCAGATTTGAAAAACAAAAACAAACAAAAAAAAAAGTTGAGGAACAATCTAGTCTATGACACAGTAGGTCACTCCCTGGACTTTCTGAAATACTTCTCACTGAATTACATTCTCTAGAACAGAAAAGACTGTGTTCATTCTCAGTGAGGTATATCAGCCAACCATGAGGCCAATAGCAGAGAATATGTTACTTACTAATGGTTAAAGTGCTAATTTATTGAAAAGAAGTCTAAAGATTGACTCAAGATGTCAGAATGGTCATGCACATCTGCTGCTGTTGCCCCCTTAAGCACATATACAGACAGATAAACATACAGCTATTTAAAAGTAGTTATGAAATAGGGAAAATCATGATTAAGAAGGACATTTGAAAGAAATTCTGTAAGCATATTACTAGAGAAAATTCTGATTTAAAAAGGATATTTTAAAGAAATTCTGCAAGTATATTACCAGAGAGTCAATGTTTAGATGAACAAAACAAAGCCCAACATGCCAGTAGAGAGGCGTGCTGGGGAGATCTGCAAGCTTTGAGTCAGGGGATGTCAGGAAGGACCGATCAACTATGGGTAGATATCAGTTTAGAAAATGAAACACTCGCACATGGAACAGAAGATCAATCCTCCCTCCTTGTTCTCCTGCTTGTACTAAACAATAGGCAGATATTTCCTGCATTGAATCCTAGAGTAGAACTAAAAAGGCAGGGCAATACCAAAGTAGCTATTGACCCCAGGAGAAAGGAAGAGGCCATCGGTCAGCTCATCCGCAGATCCTGTCTGAGCATCCTCAGGCTGTAGTAAACAGAAACCGATTATACTGATGATAGTCTGGGAATCTCATGATCAAGAAGCAGTTCAACTAAGAACCACAAGCATTTGAGGAAAAAAAGTATAGTACGAACAAACAAAAGCTAAGGGAGGGCTGGGAAGGTGGCTCAGTGGTAGAGCGCTTGCCTTGCATGCCTGAGGCCCTGGATTCGATTCCTCAGCACCACATAAGCAAAAAAGAAAAAAGGAAGTGGTGCTATGGCTCAAATGGTAGAGCGCTCACCTTGAGCTGAAGAGCTGAGGGACAGCGCCCAGGCCCAGAGTTCAGGCCCCACGACCGGACCCAAAAAAAAAAAAAAAGCTAAGGGAATTAAGGAATAAACTGTGACGTTCCAAGAGTCGAGGGGCTATCATCCATTTCAGAGGAAGAGCATTGAGGCAGCATGTAGACATTGAGAATTAAGAAAATAGTAGGCTTAATAGTCATTTAAGTTTAAATAGGTAGCCCTGTAAACACTAGACATTCTAATAAGCAATTTAGCAGAAAGAGTAAAGGGAATTCTTGCATTACTTAGTGGTAAATACAATAAGAATGATGAGAAACAAGTTGAGTTCTAGAAGATAGTTGTAAGTGTTCTAACCTTCAGTTAGTAGCTGTTCCAAAAAGAAAGAGGAGGAAAAGGAGGGAGGTGGAAATAACAAAAGCAATATTTTTTAAATGTCCTTGAATAGAAGATAAGAATAGTTGGAGCCTAGGCTCAGTGATGGAGCACATACTTAGCACATAGGATGCGGCCCTATACATATGTGCAAGCATATAATATATATACTTGCACATACATACATGTGTACCCATACACATGGATCTTCAAATTAAAAGTGTTTAAATCCTATCATCTCCAGTTCTGAAGCTTGGTGTTTTTTTTTTAAGATGTTAGTGGGGATTTTACTATAAAAGGGTTAAAATAGAGAGAAACAGAGAAATATTTCCTGGTTCTTATACAGGAAATGGGAGTTAAAGACTCCCAGTTTTGAAGTTTTAATCATTCTTTGAACTGTAGACTCATGTTTCATTTGCTTTACTTCTTTGCTTGTTTTATAATTTTTGATTTTGGCCTTAGCTTCAGCAGATTTTTTTCCCCCTGTGAATCACGGAAATATTTCTCTGTGGTGGAGAAGTGGGTACGCTTTCTCAGATAGCTAAGCGGTGTCACTAATAAAGAACTTTATGTTAATTGGTGTACTGGGCAAAGTCCTAAATGTAAATTCGTATTTCAAACTGGAATGTGGCACAAGCTCAGGGTTTTTGTTTATCACAGACAGCTTACTATTTACAGCTCAGGCAAAGCTAAACTTTGTCTTCCTTGTTATGAGTGGAATGGAGTCTGCCTTGTATGGATAAGTCAGCCATTTGAGAGTTCTAGACTTATGCAGGTTTCAATTCTATATCTCTTCTTTGGAGACCATAAATGTTACATTTTTGTTCAATATGGATTAAAATTTTAAGTCCCTAGACTTTGGGACCTTTTCCATAGCTGTTTAAAATAACCTTTCCCTTCTTTTTTCCCTACCATGCATTCTTTGTTCCAAACATATACTAGTCCATTGATATATACTACAATAATGAGGTGACTGAAACAAAAAGATAGTCCTGCATGTATTCTCAAGGTATCTTCAAGATTTATATAGCTACAGAAACAAGCATGTTCCTATTTTGGAACACTGAAGTTTACTGCTGTAGGAGTTTGGATATGTGTTGTGTGCTTCATTTCACTCAGCATTTCAAAGTTCTTGTAATGCAAAGATCTCATTATTAGCCTTCATCTGTCATGCTGTAAGAACCAGAAGTCTCTAACACAATATAGCACCCATTCTTTTCTCTTTTTTTTTACTCATTCTTTCTATTAAACTTTATTATATGGGGGGGAGGATTAAAGGATAACCATATGCCTAGAGTCTTATCAATACTGCAGATAATAGTGAGGAACTCATAGATTCCCATGGGACTTTGGAAATGCCTTTACAGAAGAGGAATGTATGCTATCGAACATATGTTATACTAGATGGATCAGGATACCTCAAACTAATATTAGAACAACTCATAGCTGTTCCAAAAAGAAAGAAGAAGAAAAGGAAGGGATGGAAATAACAAGAAAAATAATACAAAAAAAGCCCCACTGTTTTCAAATTTATCCAAAAAAACAATGTTGAATTAGTGCTACAAATTATCTCAGTAAAACAGGACACAATTCAGGAAATATTTTCATGTCCCAAGTACTCATGTGTCTTTAATGAAGCATGTGTGTATTTTGCTTTGACAGAAATATTTTCAGCTTTTCACACTTTTAATTATATTGAGCACTTCAACATTTTCGAATGAGGGGGAAAACTTGTTTTTCTTTGCCAGTACTAGGGCTTGAGCACAAAGCCTCAGAGCCGACCCATAGCCTTTTCACTCAACACTGTTACTCTTTCACTTGAGCCAGATCTCCACTTCTGGTTTTTGTTTTTGTTTTTGGTGGGGGTGAGGGCGGGGACAAATTAACTGGAGATAGAATCTCACAGACTTTTCTGCCTAGACTGTCGTTGAACTGTGATCCTCAGATCTCAGCTCCCTGATTACGTAGGATTACAGGCGTGAGTCACTGGTGTCTGGCTCTTAATTGTATCTAAAGGAGTTCTAAGTTTTAGCATAAGAAGAAAAATGTATCCTTAAATTGAAATTTTAGTTATAGTAATAATGACAATATGATTACATTGGCCATTTATGGGTAACCAATACTCTTATAAAGTTGCTATTCTCCTAATGATCCAGACAACAGAACCAGAGTCTAACAGGTTCTTATGGTGACTTATCGAAGTCATCATTCCAACCTGTTTTGATTCCAGAGCTATAACTAAGGTCTCTACTTTGTAAGAATTTTATGCTATTCAATAACATTCATTTTTGCATAAAAGGAAGTCGTTTTGCTTATAAAGAATATGACAGAAACAACGGTTTATAATGCATCTCTCATTGGAGGCCATTCTCAAAATTTGAGTGTATTTTGTCTTTTATCTCTTTCTCCTATGTAAATTATATGTTCTGATTACTGAATAAAAACAAAACAGGCAAGCATCAGGACCTGTGTGATTATGAAATTTCTCTACATTTTGTTTTTATCTGTAAAAGATAACTTATTCTTACTTACCCTGACTTTCATTGGTGGTTTGGGGGGCTCGGGCATGATGAGACAAGCATGTCTGTCTAGCAGTTGTTGGAAGGATGCCTTCCATCTTCTCCCTTCGCTCCGGCTTCTGGGGGAATGGCTTGGCTGTCACTGTCTGCTGTCTGCTTCTGATAAGTGAGTTTTCAAGTCTTTCATAGCTCTTGGGAATTCTGTCTGCAGAGACCTGCTGAGGTCATTCTGCTTCCTGCTGAATTGCCTTTGTTGTTTTGGACCATTTTGATGAACATGACCCCAAAGTACTCAGTAATACCTCTGTTCCCTTCAGAGCTATGGCCCACTCCTTGGCTTCAACTCTGTCTGCACAAAAGCTCCATGTCTCTGGAAAGAAAAACAAAATTGACATTAACTAGGGGAACACAAAATTGCTGGAAGATGCAGCTGAGTGTGTGGGTTAGCTTACATCCGGGTACTGCAGGCACTTACTTTTCTGCCTCTAGGTTGGCTGTCATCCTAGTCCAAAACTAAAGACACCCACCAGGATAATTATTCATAAGCCTTGTAAACAAATTATAAAATAGGGCAAAGCAGAAAATTAACAGGAAGGAAAAAAAGCAGAAAGTCAAAGGAACATCTCAACTCCTCAACTTTTCTATCATTGATTATATAAGACTATACAGATCAAATTTTATTTCTGGCTGCATAGATTGCTATGGACATAATAAAAAACTACAATTCATAGTTTTAGACATTTATGATTGTATCCTAAATTTTAGTTCCAATTTTAGTTAAAATGAAATACAAAAGCAAGAAAATCCCAACAATCAATGATCAGATATCTATTTGGCCTTAAACCTTACATACCTTCCATGCCCTTTATATGTATATGTATATATATATATATATATATATATATATATATATATATATACATCTACTGAGAATATCAAAAAGTTCATGAAACTGCTTTTGATTTCAATAATTGAAGTAAGCCAAATTCCCAAAATGTGATTCCAAATTATGACAGCATCCCTTGGTTTTTACTATGGTATATGGCAGAGATTCTGTCTTACATACTTAGCAACTATTTTCATTCATTTAAATAAACTTTGAAGAAGGATTGTGAGTTGAAAAGGTTTAAAGTTCTATCAATAATCTAGTCTATTCTAAAGTATTACATCATGTCTTCTAAATAATATCTTACCTTGCCCCTGTTGGGCTCATTGGGAGTTCTCCTGGAATCGTATTGGTGTATAAAAGAGATGCGTTCTCTAAAATTGTTTTGAAGTTCTCTTAAATCCTCACAGACAAGTGGAACTAAGGACAACAAAATAGATTTTTGTCAAATGAGGACAATAGTTAGATTTGTCAGTGAAAATGGAATCACTTTATAAACACTACCCACAAAATGACAAACTTTCCTGTACTAAACAGGCCTTGAATACACCTATTAGGCAAATAGTTAACCACTAAGGTACATCTGCAGCCCAACAAATGGAAATTCTTTAGATCAAGGTTACTTACTCATATCTACATAATAAATACAGAGGATTTACCATTCTTTCTCCTTGGGGAAAAAAAGAGTAAAATAACCTATTGTCCAGGTCAATTGTCAAACTTAGCAAACTCTTTCCATACTGGGGAAAACATACAAGGGAGAAGGAAACATGCATGTGAGAACCTACCCCAAAGTGTGAGACACCCCCCCACTGCCCCAAGGTTCTAGTGCATTAATATGAAGACTTAGTGAAATGGTTGAAGATGATTTGAAACTAAGGAGAAATTATGAATACTTTCAAAGAGAAGAATAGGTTATATATAAAGGAGAAAGAAAAGATAGTCAAATATCCCCTAAAACATCATCAGGTACAAGATAAATAAATAATAATATTTTAAATATTTTTAAAAAATGAACTCTAAGCCTAGAATTTTAATATCCAACCAAGCTCTAAGTATAAAGCCAAGTTTGTAAAAGGATTTCCCCATAAAACAAATCTACTGTTTTTTGAGAAAAAAATTCAAATAAATAGGACTAGAAATAGTCGAGAGTACTTATAAATGAAGGAAAATAGAAAAGTTTTCGTTTCCTAAAAAGACAAAATATAGAAAAAGTATATCTATATAAACTCAAACTAACACTATCAATAAAAATGGGATACCTGAGCCTGGTGGTTTACTCCTGCTATGTTAGCAGTTAGGAGGCTGAAGGGAGGGGCATCCAAAGTTCAAGGCAAACCTGGGCTTCATAGTAAGAATTTCTCATAGGGGGCAGAAATGGTCTTGTGATTAACCTTCTGTTTTACTTTGAGGGTATAAATGTATAAGAGTATAGTTGCAGGCTGGGAAGGTGGCTCAGTGGTACAGCGCTTGCCTTGCATGCATGAGGCCCTGGGTTTGATTCCTCAGCACCACATAAGCAAAAAAAAAAAGCCGGAAGTGGCACTGTGGCTCAAGTGGTAGAGCGCTAGCCTTGAGCTGAAGAGCTGAGGGACAGCGCCCAAGCCCAGAGTTCAAGTTACACGACCGGACCAAAAAAAAAGAGTATAGTTGCTATATACATGGTAAATGCATGGTTAGTTTTATTTACTTATTTATTTTTGGTCGGTCATGTGACTTGAACTCTGGGCCTGGGCACTGTCCCGGAACAATTCAGCTCAAGGCTTGAGCCACAGTGCTACTACTTCTAGCTTTTTCTGCTTATGTGGTGCCGAGGAATCGAACCCAGGACCTCATATGAGGCACACACTCTACCACTGAGCCACCTTCCCAGCCCCCCTTTTATAAAAGACTGGCAGGCTACTTTCTACTATGACTGCATCTTATGTTCCCATTAATAGTTAACTAGTATCTTCACCAGCATTTGGTGTTAGCAATAGTTTTGTTTTTGTTTTTAAACTTTCTGATATTGTTTAGTAATCTCATGGTGGTGATAGCTGGCATTTCTTTAATATTTAGTAAAATCAAACATGTTTTCTTTTTAAGTAGTTAATTTGTCAATTGTGAAATTTATTTTTCCCCTTATATTTTATTAGCATCAATTAGTTGTACAAAGGGATTTCATTTTCACAGTCCCAATCTGCATACAATGTCTCATGAGGCTCACTCAATCCTTTTTCCCTCCCTTATCCTCCCCATTGACTTTCCAAGCATAAACTTTTAAAAAAGACTTACATCTTTAGCTCTTTTGCATTCTAAAGAGTCCTGGGCTGCCAAAGGGGAAATCCAGCTACCACGTGGGACTACATGGAGGAGAGGCCTCCCCTTCTCCAAATAAACAGAGCAAAAAGAGCTAGATGTGGCTAAAACAGTGGAGTGTCTGCCTAGCAAATTTGAGGCTTTCAGTTTAGACCCTGATACTGCCAATAAACAAAACAAGTCCTCTCTCAATAGTAAATAACTAGGTATGAAAACACCAAAGGTGACAATCATGTTCTTGGTAATTACTTAAAAATTCAAATTGTTCTAACTAATTAGAGAAGCATTATTAATTAAGATCTACAAAATAAGGCAAATTCCATGTAGAATATTTCTAATCTATGTGTTTCTTAGAAATTTGATCTAATTAAAATAATTTGCTAAATGAGTTTGTATCTAGCCATCTACATTTTCTCAACAAAGCCAGGATTCAAACACACAATTTGTTCCTTGTATTGGTGAAATCCAGCAGATTCACTTTGAGAATTTTCTTAATTTTCTGGTTGTGGCTGAAAAAAATTCACCAGTATTATTTGTTCTATAGAAATTCTACTCTTTGCAATAGTATTTAGTTTGATCTTACATTAAAAACCATCAAAATAAAAATACTACAGGTCTTCAGAACACAGCAAAAGAGAGAAATGTAATAATAGCAAGAAATCCTTGTTACATTACATACTTCAATACAAAAGAAGCAACATAAGTTTAAAACTATTTTAGAAAACGAATCTTACCACTATATCTCAATTTGCAATTCAAAAGAATGCTAAAATATCAAGAAGTTGATCAGCAGCCAGTTTTATTTGAAGATGAAATACCACCATTCATCAATTACATCAGCTTTTCCAGCTTATAAAGTTTTATTCTATAAAACCAAGTGTGAAGACTTCTTGTAGGAACTCTGCTATGGTGAATAGAGCCATTTGCTAACCTCCTGGAGGGCAGCCCAGAAAGTGTGTGGCAAGAAGACACAAAAGGTACTTTCATTGTCAGTACAAGATAACATTGCTGAAATGCCAATGGCTGGGCGTAATGTAGTGGGATGATGGGGCAGAATGATTATGAGGAGACTCTTAATTGGGATTAGCACATGTTGACATGCATATTTTTTCTGTTTATAAGCATATGTAAAAATCTGACAAATAAAATGTTACATTAAAATGTTACATTAACAATCAGTTCAATGTCTCTAAGCACTATCTAAAATAAGAATTCATTGCAGGTCTTTGGGCTTTTTTTGTATGCTGGTTGAAATTACATTCTGACTTTAAATGACTGGTTGAGTAATATGTAATTTCCATTCCGTTATCCAATACATTCAAAAATATTTATTGAGTTTGGGCATTTATTGTTATATCCTAGGCCTTAGAATATAATAATAAACAGTAAGAGAAAGACTAATAAAAGGGAAGAAAACTACCAGAGAAGATGAGACAGAGACAAAGAAAGATACAGAGAGACAAACATACACACACAGAGACAGAGAGACAGACACAGAAAATCTGAGTGAGCATGCCAAGTGTCTAAATCTAAATTCAGCTCAACACTTAGCATGTTGTAATATTAATAAGAATAGTTACCATTTATTGTCTACTACGAGCTAAACACTGTGATATGCATGTGTGCTTTCATTTGGTTCTCATGATAATCTTTCAGTGTAATTATTAGTAGTTTCATTTCATAAACTGAAAGTTAAGTCATGGACCCAGAATCCAAAAATTCTGAGTGTTGAATCAACACTAAATTCCAAGGAGAGTGGTGAAGGTGATAGAGTCATTTTGATTTCCAATTAAGCATGTGTATTTACCATCATACTTCCCAAAGGTCTAGTACAACAATAGTAAAGAAACTAGGAAGGACTAGGAGAGAGAGAGAGAGAAAAGCCTACATGAAAGCAAAGATACTAACAAACTTGGAGGCTGGAAGCTAGATAGATAAGTGACCGTGGATTTGAGTAGACCTCAGGAAACTGGAAGTAAGGGTTTATGGGGTGAGAATGAGGGAAAATCAAGCCAATTTGTCCTATAGCATTCCAGCAACCCCCAGGGATCAGAGACATTGGACACCTGGAGGTGGGACCACCAGCAACGGTGGTGGCAGAGGATTACTGGGATGAACTCTCTAGCACCTCTTCCTTAAGAGACTCTGATTATCTGTTTTCACCCCAGGCAGGAATTTAGAGGATTTCTCTCTACCAAAACTGACTAGTTCAACAGACACATAGATTTCCCCCGATACCAGAGAAATCCCTTATTAAATTGCTAGACCTTCCTGATCAACTGAAAACCAAGTCTAGTCTTGTCTTCCAGACCCCTTCGTGTAGATCAGGGCCTGCTCCTTATGTGGGAAGGACTGCATGATTAGTCAAAAAGTTAAAGCAAAACTCATGCACCATATTTAGATTCTTCATTTTAACCAACTCATTTACTAGGTTTTCAGCCCAACCTTTTTGCACGTGTCCACAGATCAGATTCCACTGTCTTGTAAAAACCACGCCTCTAATGCATCCTTTCCATGTCTTGTTTCTTTAACCCAGAATGAAATGTAAAAAGACATTTGAAACAAAATGAACACAGAATCCTTCAAGATTAAAAAAAAATCATTCCACCTCCTCTCTCATAATTATTTGCCCATTCCAAAGGAGTGTTTTCTACTTAGTGACTAGCCTTTTAACGAGTCTTTACAAAGTAATTAACTTTAATTTGCAAGAATATGTAATTAAGTTATATAAATTCAATAACAAGTATGCAGACATAAATTTGTTTGGAAACAAGCCTGACCTTCAGAAAGCTTTTCTACCTCTTTAGTCTGGGTTGTATGGCCATGTCTGAACCCCTATATTGTGAGCAATACAAGATATAGTAGATAGACATAGCAGACTAAACAGGACTGTGTAGGTTTTGATGGGAGATTTGAGATTTATTCTATGCACAATGAGAAATAATTGGAATACCAAAAGGAGGAAAGGGATATCACGGTGTTTTAAAAGCATGCTTGTAGGCTGGGCACAGTGGCACGTACATGTAATTGAAGCTATTTGGGAGGCTAAGGGAAGAGTACAGTAAGTTTGAGGCCAGCCCATACAACAAAAGGAGAACCTGACTCCCCCAAAATATTTAAAAAAGTCCTTCTGATGATGCAATGGAAATGCATCATGGAGGAGGAAGAGGAGGAAGAAGACAGCAGGGAGTAGTAGCTTAACGAATTACAATAAAGATGGAGAAAGAGATGTCATGCTGGTGGATGTAATATCCAAGAATAGGGAAAGGGAGAGTTTTAGAATGACCTCTAGATGATCAAATCTGAGTACCTGGGGAATGGAAATGATCCCCCTTGAGATGAAGGAATCCCTGTGTGGCCTAGGTTTGAGGGGGAAGTGAACCCTTGTCACCATGGGGAATCTGAAAAGGTGATCATTTATTCAAGAAGAGATGTTTAGTAGGTGGTTGTTTATGTGAGCTTGAATCTCAATGCAAAGGATAGGGTTAGAGATATGTGTTTTTAACTGGTTCTTCTGACTTTCATAAACATTTATTCTTTGTTTTGTGCACACTGAATAGTATCCCTTGATTATTCATGTTAACTAAGGGTATCAGCATCCCTTCTCCTCTTTTCTTTGCCATCTTCCATCCGCTATATAGTTACTTTTCTTAATAAGGTTGTTAACACACATCTTATGTTCTTCTGTCTTTTCTTTGTGCCTGTACTGGGGCTGGAACACAGTCCGACATGCTCTCCCTTAGCCTTTTCACTTACAGCTGGTTGGTGCTCTACCACTTGAGGCATTCCTCCACTGTGTGTGTGCGTGTGTGCATGCGTGCGTGTGTGTGTGTGTGTGTGTGTGTGTGTGTGAGCACATGTGTGCTCATGTGCTGGTAATGGGGCTTGAACTTGGGGCATCGGGTTCTCCCTTAGCTTTTTCAATCAAGGCTGGCACTCTACCACTTGAGCCATAGCTCTACTTCTGGCTTATTGATGGTTAATTAGTCTCTTGGATTTGTCTGCCTGGTCTGCCTTGAAACTGTGATGCTCAGATCTCAGACTCCTGAGTAACTAGGATTACAGGTGTAAGCCACCAGCACCCTCCACTTCTTTTTGCTGGTTAATTGGAGATAAGAGTCTCACTGACTTTCTTGCTCAAGATGGTTCTCAGGCTCCTGAATAGCTAGGACTACAGTTGTGATCAACCAGGACCTGGATTGTTATTATTGTACGAAATAATGGGGTTCACTATGATATTTTCATACTTATATACTATGTACATTGATCATATATACCCCAACCCTTTTATCTCCTCCCTCCTCTTAGTGATCCCTCTCCATAGTTCCCACTGTACTTTTGTGTTCTTCTTTTTCAATCTAGGTTCTGCATGGAAGAAAACATGAGGTTATTTGTCATTTTGAGCCTGGTGTAATTTGCTTAAAATGATTATCTCCAGTTCTATCCATTTTCCTACAAATGATAGGTTTGTTTTTCTTTGTGGTCTACTAATACTCCATTGGGTATATATACCATATTTTCTTTATGCATTAATCTGTGGATGATGGGTACCTATACTGACTGTATGATTTTTTATTATATGCTGATTGCTTTCAGGTTATACCCAGAGTGGTCTAGCAGGATCATATGCTAGTTCTATTTTCAGTTGATGTTTGTTTTTTTTTAATTTTGGGACACTTGAAACTGATTCTCACAGTGGCTAGACTAATTGACATCTATACCAACAATGTCAGTAACCATACTTAAATTTTCTATGGTGTCTAGCCTTCAGGTGAAACCACTAAGAGAATTCCACAGTATATAATTATATGAATTTTGTTCACTTAAGGGCAAAATGATGTGCCAGGGCTTCATTTCCTCTTGGTGGATTGCCAGGGCCACTTGAAAAAAAGTGCTTCTTGGGCTTAGGGCTTGGCTCAAGTGTTAGAGCACTTGCCTGGAGAGTATAAGGCTCTGGGTTCAAACCCTTGTCCTGTCACAGAAAAAAAGAAGTGGTTCTAGTAGAAAATAAATCCTCTTCTGTAGGTTAGAAATTATTTCCCCTATGAACTTTGAACATATTAACTCAATATAGCCTTGTAAAAGAGTTGCTTGATTTCATACCTAATGCTATTCCTTAGATTGTGCGATTTCTATTTCTCTTTATGGAAAATCTTAGAATCTTTTCATGATTGTGCCTTCACATCTCATACTGATATATATGTAAGTGTCCATCTCTTTTCCTTCCAGCTTAGGAGCACTTTATAACTCTTCCCAGTGTCTTTTATTCTGGGGGACTTTCCTCTTCTCTGAGAGGCTGTATAGCGTTCAAATACTAGAGTTAAGCTATCTGAGTTCAGATACTAACCATTCTATCTACTGTGTAACCTTAAGCAAGTTGTTTAAACTCAGTGCTTTCTTTTGAAGTTTCAGTACATGCACTCCCAAAATGCTACTCTCATATATCGATATATTGAGTTAATAGCTGAGTTAATAACAGCACAGTGAAGACAAGAAAAACATTCTGAGCTCCTTTTTTATCCTCTTAAATACAGGACATGAAATCCCTATGTGAAAGATGTCTTCTCCTTACCAGCAGGAAAGTTCTCTCTCTCTCATCACCAAGCATAGGAAATGGTGAGAGAATGTATACAAACTTGTTAAACTAACCCTTCTCCAATTGCTCATTAACCACCCAGCTAATGATCTGAGCTCAAGTCCCTTGCCTTTCCTCTACTTCTCAATCTACCACTCCATTCAATTAGGTATATGGGCTTCATTCTTTGGGTCATTTCCTTATATTCTTGTGCTAGATTATAACTTACTTTAAATAAATCTATATGCTTCTGTCACCGATCTTTGTGTGGATTTAATTCTTAGACTTGACCAAAAAGAAAAAACCCTCAGAGAATAGAAGTAAAATTTTGTTTTCTTACCTAAAAAGTGGGAATAGTAATAGTATTATTACACTACCACATTACAAAGGATTTGTGTGAGAATTGAGTGAGTTCTATTTGTACTGGCTGGTAAACTGTATGTGCTTAATAAATGTTAGATGTTGGGGGCTGAGAAGGTGGGTCAGTGGTAGAGTGCTTGCCTTGCATGCATGAGGCCCTGGGTTCGATTCCTCAACACCACATAAGCAGAAAAAGCAGGAAGTGGTGCTGTGGTTTAAGTGGTAGGGTGCTAGCCTTGAGCTGAAGAGCTGAAGGACAGCACCCAGGCTGAGTGTTCAGGCCCCAAGACTGACAAAAAAAAAAAAGTTACGTGTTGATCATAAAGCTGAATCTCCACTTTTCTTTTCTTCTCTGTATCCTCTAGGTTTTCATTGTTTTATGCTCTTGATATTTCCTTACATTTGTCCAAATTCTTATTATGCCTGAGGTTTTTTTTGTATAATTCTAATCTTTTGTGGTCTGTTAATTATTAGGAACAGAACAGGGACTGTGATTTTCCAAATTAATACCTGGTGTGATAGTGACTAAAATACTGTGTCCTAGTAGTCCTAAAATGTTAAAATGGGGCAGGTAGACCATGACTGAAAATGCTTTGGAGACAGATTTGGAGGAACCTTCTGAGTTCTGTTCTTTTTTTTTTTTTTTCCTGGTCTCTTCCTGTGCTGGCTGACTGAGCCTACCCAAAATGTCAATCCAACTGGGTTTCTTTCCTGCATTTCTTTCTAGGGATGGACTCTTTGAACTCTTTTTAGCCATTAATAGGCTTCTATCCTTTCTCACATTCCATAAAGCCCTTCCTTCAATTCCCTTCACCTTGATCAGTTTATTACTTTTGTCCTGCTTTTTAAAGTGTCTTGGGAGACAAGCGAATGTATACATTTCTGCTCAGTTTACTCTCCTGAATTAAAACCATAAGTTTTTTTTTATCCATCTAAAGGACAGCCCATTGTTACAGATTAATAGCCCTCTTCATTAACTACTTCTGATGAAGTGGAAATGATGCTGAATATGACTATTTTCTACCATTCTGACCTTCAGTCCTGTTGCCCCATACATACTTAACTGGACTGACTAGATTGTGGAGTCATTTAAAGCTATCATTAAGAGGTCTGAAAGTCATCCTCTTTGACTATTGAACTGTTTATTTGAAGTTTAGCTTATGAACTTATACTGATAGTGAATAAATGTGCTTGTTTTACCCAGGCCTGTACTTGTTTAAGACTTGGTAAATCCTCTCTCAGAGGAGTACTCTCAGAAGTATCTAGAGGATGTTGGCTAAGAGACAGATATGACTTTCATTAAAAGTGACTTTCTTAAAATGACATTGTCAAGTAAAATAACTTTAGGTGTGAAAGTGTTTTAGTGAATAGCTGATGTAACAGTATATGCTCACATGACTAGGCCATGTGGGATGTTCCAAATGTTGAAAAAGGAGGAAAAAACCCAGTGTTCTTTTTCTCCTTGGTTATCATGCTTGTACTTGTTACAATACAGGTGCTCAAACTTCTACATGTGGGGCTGGGAATGTGGCTTACAGTGGTAGAGTGCTTGCCTAGCATGAACAAAGCCCTGGGTTTGATTCCTCTGTGGCTCTGTGGCTCAAGTGGTAGAGAGCTGGCCTTGAGCAAGAGAGGCTCAGAGAAAGAACGCAAGCCCTGAGTTCAAGGCCCAGGACCAGCCCTCCCAAAAATGGTCTATATGCTAACTTAAACTTATATAAGCTAAACTTAGAAAAATTAAATTCTTTTTTTTTCCAAAATTTATTGACCACTATTTTCTGTCTTGAGCAATAGCTACAAATATATACAAAATATTTCTCAGAGTTCACTTTGTAAGATAGTGTCATTTAGTATTACCTGCTATTTTAATAGTTTTAATGTTTTAAAAACTGGTGGCAACAACAATGAGCAGAATGCTACCAAATTTCTGATCTTGAAGTTGGTATTCATGATCAGTGCAATTTTTCAATACATTATATTAGAGTTGTATGGAAATAGGCTGTCTACTAGAAGATAACCTGGTAGAGTCATAGGAACTTGAACTAGTGTGTCTTCCTACTCCTGTAAAGAAGTCTATCTTAACAGTAGTAAACTGAGATATCAAAAGAGGTTTTACCACTGCTAACCTTACCTATTCCACAAGAAGGCTTTTGCAGCCTGCTGAATTTGACTGGATAAGACAGTTGACCTGTTGGTTTTTGGAAGTCACTCCTCTGGGTACTCTGACTGTCAAAAGGTGGTCGTCGACACTCCTGTGACTCAGATGGCCACCAGTGACTCTTTATAGAGAAAAACAATTGGAAGCAAAATTGAATACTGTTGGAAATTTTCATGTGTTTTCTGTGAATGTTCAATAATTTAACTTATTAGATAGCCCAGTACTCAAATAGAGTTCTTAAATCTAGGAATAAGTATCTTTTCACAAAGATTGCAATTGTGTGCGTGTGTGTGTGTGTGTGTGTGTGTGTGTGTGTGTGTGTGATGTGTGTGCACCACTACTAGAGCTTGAACTCAGGACCTCAAGCTCTTGCTCTGTTCACTCATGGCTGACTCACTATCACTTAAGTCATACCTTTATTTCCAGCAGTTTCCTGGTTAATTGGAGACAAGTCTTGAGAAGTTGTCTGCCAATTTGGATACAAACTGAGATTCTCAGATCTCAGCCTCCTAAGTAGCTAAGATTACAGGCATGAGACACCAGCTCCCAGGTTGTATTTCTTTTTTAACTTTTTTTTGATCATATTGGGGATTGGACTTAGGACTCCTGCACATGCTAGAGAAGCACTCTATCACTTGAAGCATACTTCCAGCCCAAAGACTATATTTCTTAAGAGGCATCTAAAAACAAATCCACCTATAGAGTTTTTAGCTGAAATACAACTCCTAAATTCTTATTTAGCTATCTACTATCAACATATAACATGATCAAAATAAATAAGTTATGGAGAGGGGAGGGATAGTGGGAGAAGAACAAGGGAAGGGGAACAATGATGGACAAGTACTCATTGCCTTATTCATGTAACTGTAACTCCTCTGTACAGCATCTTTACAATAAAATAAAATTTAAAAAATATTATTTAAAAAATATTATTACATTTTGTACTCTAATTTTATTATATAAATAATAAAACATGATTTAATCTAAAAATATGCTCAATATATTTTATGAGAACGTATAATCATCTAAAATGTTGGTTATAAACGGTTTTGTTTTTGTTGGTCATAGGGTTTGAACTCAGGACCTGGGCACTGTCTCTAAGCTCTTTTGCTCTACACCTATAATCCTAGCTACTCAGGAAGCTGAGATCTGAGGATTACGGTTAAAAGCCAGCCTGGGCAGAAAAGTCCTTATGAGACTCTTATCTCCAATAAACTATTCAAAAAAGCTATGGCTCAGGTGGTAGAGCACTAGCCTTGAGCATAAAGAGGCTTCAGGACAGCATCTAGGCCCTGAGTTCAAGCCCCAGGAAAGGCAAAAAAAAGTTTTTAGTAGATGATTTATATCATGAAATACATTTATACAAGAGTATATGAGGTTACTCATACATAAAACTGAAACCATTATCTTGCCCATGTAATTGTAACTCCTCTGTATGGTATTTTCATAATAATAATTAAAAAAATAAAAAGAACGTGAAAACTGAAACCAAATTTTCCCAAGTATCATCTTACTTTATATATGACACAATATTTGGCTGTTTTTCTATTCTATTCTATTGCTTTTTCTTCTCTTTCATTGAAAGCAATATTTTGTTTCATAAATGTAACTATAATAAAATGCTGCTTGAGAATCACATTGATTTATAATTCACTAATAACTCAGTTCAACAATATTTTGTTCTACAGCTCGATGTGACTGAATTGTGGATGTTCAGAGCTAGGCATGCAGGAGGAGGAGGCCTGATGAATTCCTCGGTGGCACATGGACCATTTCATCTCTTAGAAGCTGAGAAAGCAGTTGTTACTTGACTTAATTCGAATCAAAATTGAAATCTGCTTGATCAGGAAAAAGAAAACCTGAGGGAAGGCAACTGGCACTCCGGGAAGTTCCCGGATGTGATGAGGTAATAACCTTAAGGAATGCCAGTGCCTACACTGGGTTATAAGAAAATAAAGCCGCACCAGTGGCTCAAGCCTATAATCCTAGCTACTCAGGAGTTAGAGATCTGAGGATCACAGTTCAAAGCCAGACTGATTTAGGAAAGTCCGAGAGACTCTTATCTCCTATTACTATCTGGAGCTGAGACTCAAGTGATAAGGGGCTAGCCTTGAGGGAAAAAGCTCAAGAGCAGAGCCTAGGTCCAGAGTTCAAGACTCAGGACTGGCACAAAAACAAACTAGGAACCAAAATTTTAAAATACAATTCAAGGAGAATATTCGATTCCAGTAATAAAATTCTTTCACTATAATCAAGGTTAAGTTAATATAAAAAAGAAGAGGCATCTAAAGAACCCTATATGAGTTGGGCATGGTAGTGCATTCCTGTAATCCCAGCTGTTCAAGGGGCAAAGGAAGGATTGTGAGACCAATAAAAGGTAACAACAACTTTCTCCAAAACAAAAAACAAGAGTAAATGGTTAGCACACGTGGTAGAGTAGAGCACTTAACTTGTGTGAGGCCCAGGGTTCAATCCCTAGCACAACAAAAAGTAAAACTAAAAATAAAAGAGAATCCCACGTGGCTGCATAGGAAGTCAGCTCTCAAATGAGTTAAGCTTCTGAAAAAGTGTACAGTATCAAATTCAAAAAAGTTTTTTTTTCTGGGAGAAAGCTTAGAATAAAAAAAAATCAAACATTAACAATCTGGAAAGGATTACAATGTTCAAGGCTGAAACTTAGACTACTCAACGTGAGGTTGTTTGTTAAGGGAAATTATCTGATAAGATAAGCATGTACCAGAGAGAAAAGAGCAAAGACCTGAATAACAGACAAAAGAATTAGATATCACTCTGTCACTTTCATGCTAGGTTTTTGGGCTAATGACAACTTGTTACCAGGACTAATGGAATGACAGGCAATTGCAAATAGGTGATTTCTGGCAGTACTCCAGAAATTTAGGATCCAGGAAATTCTGGAGAAGCTGGCTAATACCCAGATGTTCAGAATGGGCTAAAAAGATAAATTTTACAAATTAAGACTACTTGATATAGATCCAATGAAAATTCTAGGACAGATTACCTAAGCAGATGGTGTCTTCTCACTATGTGGCTAAAAATAATCAGGACTCACTGTTTGAGTCAGAGTGGCTGCCTCTTCCAGCTCTCCACTCCATAATTACCATTGTGCTTATTATGTACAAGGTCTAGAATTCATAGCCTTATCTTTCTCTCTCTGCAGTTCTATGTGGTAGGTACCCCCCACTTTCCAGAGGAGGAGACTCCCAGGAGATTAAACTTCCCCTAAACTATGTCTCTAGCAGGCCAAAACACAACCACATGACCACAATTTGACCCGTCACCTATGCACACATACCCCTAAACACTATGTTACATCAAGTCTCTTTTTTTGGTTTGGATTTTTTTTAACTGTATTTTTTTTTGTCTTTTCTTTTTTGGTACTGGGGATCGAACCCAGGACGTTGCGCTTGCTAGGCAAGCGCTTTGCCACTGAGCTATATCCCAGCCCTACATCAAGTCTCTTATGGAATGCTAAAGCAGATAAGCAGAAACTTAACTATATTGTTGCAAAAGCAAAGAATCACAGGTTCTAAGTAGGTGTCTTACTTAGTCTGTTTTGGTAGCCATATCGGAACACCACAGGCTAGGTAATTTAGAATGGACAGAAATGTGTTGGCTCACACATTTGGCTCACATTCTAACTCCAAGATGGTGTCTTGAATGCTTATGTAGACCTGGAAAACCCAGGATAGAAGACAGTCCTGTCAGAAAAATCCTTGAGACTCTTATCTCCAATTAACTAGCAAAATGCTAGAGTGGAGGCATGGTTGAAATGGTAGAGTACCAGCTGTGAGCAAACAAGACAAGCAAAATCTCGTGGCCCTGAATTTAAGCACTGATACTTGCATGGAAACAAAAAGAAAGAAAGAAAGAAAGAAAAAAAGAATTGCAGTACTGTTTTTTTTCTTTTTAAAAAAGTTAAGTCCTCCAAACATTTCTTCATGATTCACTTACCCAGAATCTCTTTTCCAGAGACTCAAATATTAGCAAAGTAACTCTCTGATCCACAAATGATATAAGGTATGTGTCTTACAAAGTTTTTTTTTTTTTTTATAGTAAAACTCCCTTGGGATGCTTAATGCTATGGTTTGAGAGCTTATCCCCTCCAAAGCTGACATAGAAATTAAATTGTGTTCTGTTTTGTTTTTTGGGTTTTTTTTTTGGGGGGGGGGTCCGGTCGTGGGGAACTCTGGGCCTGGGCGCTGTCCCTCAACTCTTCAGCTCAAGGCTAGCGCTCTACCACTTGAGCCATGGCACCACTTCCAGCTTTTTTTTTTTGTTCTGCTTATGTGGTGCTGAGGAATCGAGCCCAGGGCCTCATGCATTCAAGGCAAGCGCTCTACCACTGAGCCACCTTCCCAGCCCTAAATTGTCTTCTAACAGTACTGAGAGGTGAAACTTTTAAGAGACATGAGTGTTTTTGCTTTTATCGGTGGGATTCTGTTTTTGGTGGGTTCCCAGGCTGGTTTTGAATCATGATCCTCAGATCTCAGCCTCCTGAGTAGCTAAGATCATAGGTGTGAGCCATGGGTGCTAGGAGCTCAATTGCTCTTCTTAAACAGAGATACCAGGTTACTGTTCAAGTGAAATTCTTTGAGAATTTTACCAAAATGTTCTCCTTTGTCTCACAAATGTAAAGGGCATAATGAATAGGTTTTCCTAAAGTCTTAGTAACTTTCAGACACTCCTGTTAGGGAAAGTATTCTGAAGAAATGGGAAATATAAGTACAAATTAACAAATTTAAAAGCTTCTGTACAACAAAGGAAATAATTAACAGAATGAAGAGACAACTTACAGAATGGGAGAAAAAACTTGCCAGCTATTCATCAGATAAAGAATATCCAGATTATATAGAGAGCTGCCAAACATAAACCCCATCAAGACCAAAATGATTAAATTAATAAGCAAATAAATTGAATAGCTCAAAAGAAGTACAAGTATACATTAAGAAGTGTTCACCATCTTTAAACATAAAGGAAATGCAGATCAAAAAGACACTGAAGTTCCATTTCACTCTAGTCAGAACTGCAATGATAAAGAAAACAAAAAAATAACAAGCAAGGAGGGGAAAAAGTCGAAGACTGTTGGTGCAACTGTAAATTGGTGCCACCACTCTGGACTTGTTCTATGTAACACTAAGATTAATAGATGTTATGTGAAAGCGTTTCCCATGGCTAAATAAAGCTGCAAAATAGTAAGATAAGCCAAGTTATCCAAGTTTATCACGGATGTTTCTGACTCTTTATACACCGATAGTAGTAGTGACACTCCTGAGAAAGACACATAAAAATTACACCTTTTCCAGAACTTACTTGATTTTAGAAATTTATTTTTTCAAGTATGTGAGTGAAGGCTAGTGTTCTGAAAGCTACACTCTGACAAGCCTTTTCTAAAGACCAGTACTTGGAAATTTCCAGACAATCAGATTAGTTTTCATTGAAAGTCACTGTGCTAAGACCCTTTTTACTGCATCCAGTAACTTCAACATTATGCCGTAGTGCAGAAAAAGAGGAGGGCTTCAGAAGATTACAGGAGTCTTGAGTGATGGAGATGTTGCATCACTTGATCATGGTAAGATTATATAACTAGAACTTTATCACAGCTCACAGGACTGCATCTTTAAAAAGGTCAGCTTTTCTCTAAATATGTTCCTTTATATGGCAAAGGAGCTTTGGAGATGAGATTTAGAATCTTTTCTTTTTGGTTTAGTTATTTTCTGTGATAGTTTTGCAATTCTTTTGTCCAACGTTGGCCTCTACCTACCTCTCCTGGTGTAGCTAGGATTACAAGCTTATACCTGGCTTGTTGAGAGGGAATTTTACTAACTTTTTTCTTTGGCTGCCATCTCCCCCATATCTATCTCCTGAGTAATTGGGATTACAAGTATGAGCCTCTGTGCCCAGTCAAGATGAGGGATCTTGAGCTGGAGAGATTACCCCATATTACCCCAAACAGAATACAAGGATCCCTTTAAAAGGCAGGAGAGTCAATCAGAGAGATTTGATTATTAGATTCTTCTGGTTCTAAAGAGGAAGGTGCCATGAGCCAAGGAATGTAAGCAGCCCCAGAAGCTGAGAAAGGCAAATACAGACTGTTTCTCAGTGCCTCTAGAAGGATTTGACCAGCCAAAAGCCAGTGACACTGGTTTAACATATCTGAACTCCAGAACTGTAAGAGAATTAATTTCTGTCGCTTTAAGCCAGTGTTTAAATTTGTAACAATTCCAACGGGAAACAATATAATAAATCATACCTCAACAACCCTAACTTTTAAAAAATGGTAATGGAATGTATTTAGGATGGCATAGTTCAGGTAAGCCAACTGTCCTACAGCAGAGACAGTATTTGCTTACTATATTACCTCAGATACACTCATTAACCTCGCTATGTATTATCACTTCTGAAATAGTTCCAATAATACTTTGTAGAAAGCGTTGCAAAAATTATACTTTATATAAAAACAAAGCTAATTCCTGGCACTCTATATACTTTAAGTCAATGGTAGCTATTTTATAGCTACCATTTTATAGCTGAGTAGGGTGAAGTTTTTGGAATATATGCCACAAACAACATTACAGGATTCCTTTAGTAGTCCCCACGCACTACTGAGTAGCTACAATCCTACCCAATGTAGAAAATGATTACTTGCATTCTTGCCTTAAATACATATTGTTTATATAACAAAGTTATCTGCCAGAACAGTTCCAGATTACTGCTTTTAACCATTGGATTATCAACAATCCTATTTTGAGACAAGCACGTCACCTTCCTTAAAATAGCTGTGACCAAATTATCCTGCAAAGAAAGCTTCCAAATCTAAATCTATATTTGAATACAACAAACATCTGTCCAACCTGCACTTCGGGCCCTTCTTTTGGATCTATGTAGGGAATTGGTTCATTGTAAGTTCTCATATTTGTGTTAATGAATTTAGCATAATTTACACGTCCTCTCCGGACACAAGATGTTGAATGTTGCATTGTTTTTTCTTGTTCGATTTCTTCTTTTTTAGTTACATACTTTATACCATCATCTTCTATTTTGTCTTGTCTGAAAAACACAATTAAATAGTAAATTTTCTACCCCAATAAGCATTGTACAGAGTCCTAATCAAATAAGACCTAAGTATGTTTCAAGTATTAAGACAATTTAGGTTTTATTAATAGTGATTAATAGACTTACACTATTAAAATTTGGGTTGGTTAATGTGTTAATAATGATTAGTCATTCTGATATAGTAGTGCAGTACATTGGCTCTTTTTTTGGGGGGGAAACACTAGTGATTTAATGACACAAATCATGTTTATAGTATTTATGCATATGACTAAATTACATGATTATCTGAACATGCTTTCTTTAAAAGTTTTATGATCTAGAGCGGACCTCCCCTGTTTAACCTAGTAAATTTAGCCATCTGCTCTGGTCAAGGACAGCTACTTAACTCTAAAAATTCACCTGGCAAACTTATAAAAGCTATCAAATGACCGCCAATATTTCTTTTTTCTTCTTCTTCTTTTTGGTGGGTAGGTCTAAGATTGGGACTCGAATTTGGTACCTGTTGCTTTGGCTCACTGGCTAAAGCTCTACCATCAAGCGTGGGGGGTGGGGGTGGGGAAGGAACCACGACAGGTAAAACACTTCAGCTTATCTGACTGACCATTTTTGGTGTTTTTATGAACTACACCTGCTACATAAATATGAAATTATTTCAAAAAAACTTTTTGAAATATAATGAAATAGTAATGAAATCAACTACTCTGAATGCTTTTTACATAGAAACCTTTAAAATCCAAGTGGGAGGAATGTCGATAAGATTCCAACTTCATAGAATGGAGAGTTCTATTTTTCCTTACCCACAGACCTTCAAACATAACCCTACATTGCCTTAAAAAGTCAGGCCATCTCTTCCATCATGTCATTCATTTTCTTCTTCTCTTTATTTCTATTTTTCTCCTTCCTTCCTTCCTCCCTCCCTCCCTCCCTCCCTCCCCCCTTCCTTCCTTCTTTCCTTCCTTTTCTTTTGCCAGTCCAGGGACTTGAACTCTGGAAGTGGGTGCTATCCTTGAGCTACTATTTGTTCAAGGCTAGCACTCTACCACTTGAAGCACAGCACCATTTCTGGCTTTTTCTGTGATTTACTGGAGACAAAGAGTCTCAGACTGCCCGGACTGGCTCTGAATTGTGATCCTCAGATCTTAGCCTCCTGAGTAGCTAGGATAGCAGGCGTGAGCCACTGGACCCAGCTATGTCACTCATTTTTCAATGAAAACCCTTGACTGTACAAAAAAAAAATATTTCCTCCCGAAAACACCTCACACCTCTTCTATGACCTGCTCCTGAGCATCTCTTCAACCTCATTCAAGCTTCTCTGCCCTCGCTTTCCATTTTCTGTTCCCTACAGAGCATTAGCACATACCCTTCTCTCTGCCTGCTGCTCTTCCTGGTTCTCTGACAGGGTGCTAATTATCACATAGGACTTAAGCTGAAAAATCCCCTCTTCAAAATCTCTTCCTAGATTTCCCTCGTCCTACATTCCATTCTCTCCATGCATTCTCTCATGAGTTTTCAAAGTGGGCTTTATTATGACCTTTTTCTTTGGTAAATGTATAAAATTGGTCATATTCTCTTCTCCTTGTCTTCTTTTTCTCCTCTTCTACTGTTTCCTCCCCCTAAACAGACCTCCTTTTATGTTCATGTCCTTGGGGTTTTTCCTTTAGATCATATTTTTAAAAATATGCAGTCTTTGTCTGAGTCTGGTTTATTTCACTAACATGATGATTTCCACTTCCATCCATTGTCCTGCACGTGACAAAATGTCATTCCATTTTATGCGTAAATAATATTTCATCCCACTCAATGTCTTCTCTGTTTTATGCTTTATCCATTCTTTCATGACAGCCACAATTCTTAATATATGTACCTCGGTTCTTGTTTGTAATAAATACCATAAATACCCTTATTAGTCAATAAATTGCATGACATAAAGATTGTTTCATACATCATTATTTACCCCACACTCAGGAAAGTGTCTTGCTCACATATCTGTGGTGAGTCTTTTAGAATTGTCTTTCCACTATGGCTTTGTTTTTGTCATGTACCCACAACTCTCAACTATACAATCAAAGGCCATTCAGAATCCCTTTGAGTTTTCTGCAAATTGTCCTCTGCAAAGGATTTGGAAAAACTGATTACGGGTCAAGTGTAAATAAGTTCCAATTCTTTTCTATGACCTTTCCAGAGATACTAGCATTTATTTAAAGATTATGACCAGTGGGCCAATTTATCATTGTGGACCACTGGCTTCCCTAAGTTTCTCATAGTTGTATCCCTCCAATACATTTATACTAGAATTCTTTCCTGGCCATAGTTGGGATTGAACTCAGAGTCTCTCTTGCTACATGGGTGTGCTACTGAAGCCACACCCCCCATTTTTGCATTGCTTATTTTTGAGGTAGTGTCTTGCTTTATGCCCAGGCCAGGCTGGGCTATGATCCTCCTAATTGTGCTTCCCCAGTAGTTGGGATAAAGGGCCTGTTCCATCTCACCCAGCCATTGAAGAAGATGGAGTTTTGAGAACTTTTATGCCTGGGCTGCCTTGGAGGACAATCCCTTGATCTTGGCCTCTCAGAGTAGCTAGGATTAAGTGCCTAAACCACCTTGCCCATCTTAGATTGAAGTCTTTCTTAATTAAGGAAAGAAGTGTGGCTATTTGCTTGCTCACATCCTTTGATGACCATTTATGATATAAATTCCTACATAGGATCCAGAAAATGTGAAATGTGAAGGCAGTGGTCTCTTTGTAGAAGGAAATGCAGATTAAACCACTGATTAGTTAGGCCTGGACTAGAATCCTAATTCTCCCATTCAGTATCTGAACCTGGGTTTCCTTATTTAAAAGCATGACAGCTGGTATGGAAGATGTGAGAATAACATTGAATTACTCATTCTGTCAACACTCATTGTCTGCTATTGTTTGTCAGGTGTTAGGGGCAAGGAGGATTCAGCAGAGACAAAACAGAAAAACAGCAACAAAAACCCCAACCCTGTCCTCATATAGCTTGCATTCTAGAGAGAGAAGTAAGATGGGGGGGAAAAAGTAAAATACACAGCTGTGTCAGGACAAGCACTAAGCACAGAATGGAGTTTGGAGAAGGCAAGCTGCACGTGGGAGGTAGGCTGCATTTTTAGGTAGGGTAGAGGCTGCACTGTGAAGGTGGCAATTGAAAAAAGAAAGAAAGAAGGAAGGGAGGGAGAGAGCTAAGTGGATATCCGAGGGATGGCATTCCAGCAGAGTGAGTACTGACTGCAAAAACTTCCTAGATACTGTCCCTTCCTTAGAACACAAACTGGTCTTTGGGCCGGGCGCTGGTGGCTCACGCCTGTAATCCTAGCTACTCAGGAGGCTGAGATCTGAGGATCGCGGTTCAAAGCCAGCCCGGGCAGGAAAGACCGTGAGACTCCTATCTCCAAAAAACCACCAGAAAACCGGAAGTGGCGCTGTAGCTCAAGAGGTAGAGCACTCGCCTTGAGCTGAAGAGCTGAGGGACAGGGCCCAGGCCCAGAGTTCAAGCCCCACGACCGACAAAAACAAAAACAAAAAACTGGTCTTTGGATTAGCAGCACTAGCATCCATTATGACCCTGTTAGCAGCACAAAGATACAGGCTCCAAATTAACCATTTAATCTATGCAGCTGGTTCCTGGGAACCTGCCTCCACCAGCTCTCTAACTAGTTCATTGGCCCGTTACAGGTTGAGAACGACTGTTCTGACAGTACAGGCTTTAGAAGGAGGTGTCCCTAACTCCGTACAAATCTTAACGAGCTTTCATATCTTGTTTGGGAGAGTCACCGAAATTTCAATACATCACAGTCTCCTGAAGTCCAGTCGGAGCACAGATTATCTGCTCCCACACTCAGGGCTTCGGATGCAGCGAGGGTGGAGCCGGCTGTCCCTTAGAAATGGTCATTTTGTCATTTCCAAGTGGTGATGTTTGGGAATCTCTGCAGATGACAGCAGGGAGCCGCTGCGGTAGGCACCGGGTGTGCAGGCCTTGTGTGGGCGGGCGCCTGAGCTGTCGCTGTGATGGCGAGGGGGTCACCTCTTTATGTCGTAGAGACCACCCTGCCTTGCTGAGGAGCTGCAGATGATACAGGAAGGGAAGCAGGGGCTGCAGTGCAGAGTGTGAGGCTGGGGCTTGGGCCCAAGTGGGGCGCGCAGCAGGGCTGCACCGTGGGAGACAGAGGTAATAGACTTGTGGTAGGTGTGGGGCACGAGAAGGAATGATTTCAAGATGACTTCAGGAACGGAAGGCCCGTGATGCGGTTAATCGGCCAAGTGCTCAGCAAGTGAGTTTAATTTTTTTTTTTTTTTGGTCCAGTTGTGGGGCCTGAACTCTGGGCCTGGGTGCTGTCCCTGAGCCCTTCAGTTCAAGGCTAGCGCTCTACCACTTGAGCCACAGCACCACTTC